GGGTCTGGTAACCCTTCCTCAGAACTGGACCTGAAACGTTAACTCTGTTTCTTACTTCAGAGATGCTGCCAGACCTGCTGAGCTTTTCCAGCAACTTTGTTTTTGTTCCTGATTTAGAGCACCCACAGATCTTTCGGTTTTTATAACATAACAAAGATGTTTCCTTTTCAGGTGACTGTGAACAAGGAAAATCCTTCAGTAGCCGCCTGGTAAAGCTGCCAATACACAAATTTTGACAACACTATTTTCAATTTATATCAAGTCTGGAATGTTACATGTGTATTATGTGATACACCAGTCAGCATCCAAGCAACTGCAATAGTGCTGCACCATTTATGTTATAGCTAATGGCAATAATTACAATAGAAATGTTCTGTGTCCTTTTCTCTCATGCATTCTTAATGTTTAGGTATTTATTAGATATTTTATCTATGGTGAATCATATTACATATACTGCGTTAAGGACCTGTTACACATTGGAAATATTCCAAGATGATAACTTAAAGTTTGAGTTTCATGTAGTTGGAGAGTTATTTTTTTTTCCTTTATTCATTCATGGGATGAGGGTGTTGCTGGCTAGGCAGCATTTATTGTCCATCCCTAATTGCCCAGAGAACAGTTAAGAGTCAACCACATTGCTGTGGGTCTGGAGTCACATGTAGGCCAGAACAGGTAAGGATGGCAGTTTCCTTCCCTAAAGAACATTAGTGAACCAGAGGGGTTTTTTTGGCAACTGATTCACAGTCATCATTAGACTGTTAATTCCAGATATTTATTGAATTCAAATTCCACCATCTGCCATGGCAGAATTTGAACCTGGGTCCCCAGAACATTATCTCAGTCTCTGGATTAACAGTCCAGTGATAATACCACCAGGCCATCACCTCTCCCTTTCTTTGGAGAACGTGGGATTGTTTTGGGGATTGGTTTATCCAGGAATACAGATTATACCTGGAAAACAGGAATGGACAGTCATCAGGTAACCTTAATCTAATCTATCTGGCAGAAACTGGATCAACTACTCATTTTGCATTGCACTCCCATATGGTAGATAGCCATTGCAAGAGCCCATAGTTTCCATACTGTGCTCGGTGGTGCTAACAGTGTGAAACTGATCGCATATTCTCCTATAGTTAGTTTCAAGAAAGAACTGCTGTGAACTTTAATAGCAATTTCCTTGACAATTTCTTACCTTATCCAATGCTGCCTGCACTATAGATTCACTCTGAGTATCAAGAGCAGATGTTGCTTCATCCAGCAGAAGGATCTTTGGGTTTCTGACCAACGCACGAGCAATAGCAATTCTCTGTTTCTGTCCACCACTCAGCTGGGCACCTCTTTCACCAACCATTGTATTAAATCTCTAAAATTGCAAAAGTACATAAAGTAAACTTTTGGGGAAAAAATACCTCAGTTATGATATCTGCCCAACAAAAATTAAGTGGCTTGATTACTAAGAGGAGGGGTTGCAAGTTTGATTTAGTGGGAAGAGGTGCAAGATGTTCATGTGAATATAAAAAAGGAAAGAGTAGATGTGCTGACAGTGGAAAGACTTTCAGTCTCCAATTTTTTTCGACAGGGAGAATAGAGTTCTCACAGAAAAAGACAATGACTATGGCTAGTGTGGTATGTAGACAGAAGAAACCGAAAGTTGTGTGTGAGCTACCAGGCAGAATGTGGAAAGGAATATGGTCTCTGCTCAAAAGATACACAAAGATACATTGAATCGAAAAAATTCATCCTGGCATGACTGTGGGTGGGGGAAATGATTAACAGAATGGGGAGGCAATGGCCTAGTGGTATTATTGCTGGATTATTAATCTAGAGACCCAGGTAATGTTTTGGGGACCCCGGTTCGAATCCCACCACGGCAGATGGTGGAATTTGAATTCAATAAATATCTGGAATTAAGGGTCCAATTATGGCCATAAATCCATTGACGATTGTCGGAAAAACCCATCTGGTCCACTAATGTCCTTTAGGGAAGGAAACTGCAATCCTTACCTGGTTTGGCCTACATGCGACCCCAGACCCACAGAAATGGGGTTGACTCATAACTGCCCTCTGGGCAATTAAGAATGGGCAATAAATGCTGCCTAGTCAGTGAAACCCTCATCCCCTGAATGATTAAGAAGAAAAAAAATCAATTCAGGAGAGCTCTGCAAACTTAGAAAAGTGCCTTTTGATGATTATTTGATGTTGTGACACGATAAAATCCATTGGAAACTGGTAGTGATGTTGGACTGATCGTTGTGAAAACGATTATTCTGGAGAGAGTGGGATAAAAAGTACAACTGTAGTGTGAGATTTTTAGTTATGTTAAATATTAGAAGGGCTGTTTTTCCTGTAGTTTAACGAATTATTTGCTAGTAAGTTTAACTAGTCAATGTTGCTGTTAGTTTGTGAAATAAACACCTTAAAGCTTGCATATGTTGTGTGATCCTTTCAGCAGTGTGACTGCGGATTCAAATATCTTTCGAAATTTATTGGTCACCACAGGGATCACAACAGCATGTGCAATTAAACACCAAAATCTGGAAACTGTTATCTGACATGCAGCATATCTTCATTAGCTGTGTGGAAAGAACATCCCAACATCAGCTCCTCATACATATATTGATTGCCTCCAATGCCAGTATATCTTTCAGTAGATAAGGGGCCCAAAACTGTTCACAGTATTCCAGCTGTGGTTTGACTAGTGTTGTGTACAATTTTACTAAGATGTCCCTATTTTTATATTCTATTCCAAGTGAAATAAAGGGCAGCTTTCCCTGAAACTAGTTGCTAGCTGTTTGTGATTCATAAGCGAGGAAGTGCTTGCTCTATTCGCTTGTCCAGCTGACAGTATCTTGTAAATGTCGCATGAATAGTCTAGGGCCAAGTGTAAGTACGAAGCATGTTGATAAGAAACAAGTAAGCTTGTGCTGTTTGTTTGCCACTCAGTAAAATTTGTACCATTATGTCTATTTGATCAATGAGCACTGTTCACTATGCATCTCACTGTCCTGAATTAAAATTAAATATTTCCAGTAATTTCTGTTATGTTTAAAACAATGAGCTATATTAACCTGAATTAAATTGTGGAACAATAGAAGATCTACAGCTCTCATATAGGTGGACTATACCTCAACCACCGAGTTACTTTTGCAGCCATTGAAGATACATGGTCTTAATAATAATGTCAGCTGGTTATTAATTTTATGTGAACAAATGTTTTGTCTTAGTAGAAAAAAATGAGAAAATTGCCTAGAAATTGTAGTCAGGAAATTAACCATTTGTATGAATAGTGCTGCTTCCTTCAAGTTGGTCGTCTGAGTAGTTCACCTGCAGTGTTATGGTTCTCCACGCAACAACAAAAAAAGTTACCATTTATATGGTGATCTTACAATAGTAAAATATCCCAATTCACTGAAAAAGAACATTAACAATGAAGACCTTTTTGACACGAAGTCACAGAAAGAGATATCAAGACAGATGTGCAGAGCCTTAGACATTGGGAAGCATTCCCTGGTCCTGGAGATAATGGTTCTGGAATAGGAAAAGCAATTTAATTAGGCAGAATTATGGTATCCCAAAATCCTGCTACATTCGCACTTCTACCTGAACTAAATTCTGACTGGGAACATTCAAACTTAAACATCCCACCCTGCTGCCAATTGAGGCCTTTAACTGATCAATTAATGACCACCTGAGCACCACTTAAAGCCCTAATCCATCTAGTCTGTAACTATTGAGGAACTGGATATAGCAAAATGGGTGGCCAATTAGAGCCATGCTCCCCGACCTGATGAGGTCATAAGCCCACTGGTGACCAATTCAGTGCCTGATTGTTGGAAGATACACCAAGTTATCACAGTTTAACACAACACAGCACTGTCCCTGTCAATCTCTTGTGCTTTTATGCTCAGTCTTTGAATGGGAAACTACTGTCTAAAGAGTTCACTTTTATCTTAAAGATTGAAAAAGGTAGAAAGGGGGGAGATTATGGAGAAAATAACTCGGACGTTAGTGCAAAGCAGATGAAAGGACAATAATGGATTGTTTAAAACAGATCGTTGATAATATCATAGCTGCTGTCTGACCAGTGCATGATGAAAAAAGAACAAAGAAAATTACAGCACAGGAACAGGCCCTTCGGCCCTCCAAGCCTGCGCCAATCCAGATCCTCTATCTAAACCTGTTGCCTATTTTCCAAGGATCTGTATCCCTCTGCTCCCTGCCCATTCATGTATCTGTCTAGATACGTGTTAAGTGACGCTATCGTGCCTGCCTCTACCACCTCCGCTGGCAACGCGTTCCAGGGACCCACCACCCTCTGCGTAAAGAACTTTCCACGCATATCTCCCTTAAACTTTTCCCCTCTCACCTTGAAATCGTGACCCCTAGTAATTGAGTCCCCCACTCTGGGGAGAAAGCTTCTTGCTCTCCACCCTGTCCATACCTCTCATGATTTTGTAGACCTCAATCTGGTCCCCCCTCAACTTCTGTCTTTCTAATGTAAATAATTCTAATCTACTCAACCTCTCTTCATAGCTAGCGCCCTCCATACCAGGCAACATCCTGGTGAACCTCCTCTGGACCCTCTCCAAAGCATCCACATCCTTTTGGTAATGTGGTGACCAGAACTGTACGCAGTATTCCAAATGTGGTCGAACCAAAGTCCTATACAACTGTAACATGACCTGCCAACTGTTGTACTCAATGCTCGTCCGATGAATGAAAGCATGCCGTATGCTTTCTTGACCAGTCTATCGACCTGCATTGCCACCTTCAGGGTACAATGGACCTGAACACCCATATCTCTCTGTGTATCAATTTTCCCCAGGGCTTTTCCATTTACCGTATAGTTCGCTCTTGAATTGGATCTTCCAAAATGCATCACCTCGCATTTGCCTGGATTGAACTCCCATCTGCCATTTCTCCGCCCAACTCTCCAATCTATCTATATTCTGCTGCATTCTCCGACAGTCCCCTTCACTACCTGCTACTCCACCAATCTTAGTGTCATCTGCAAACTTGCTAATCAGTCCATCTATACCCTCCTACAGTCATTTCATGACTTATAAGATTGCCTCATTTATATTAATCAGACCAAATTAATATCTGCATAATTTTCACGAAACTAAATGTGATAATAGTGAAATATTAGAGTATACTGTATTCTGTTATCATTTGTAATAACAGGGAGCATGTAATACTCCTAATTCAGCAATCAATCAATGCATATGCTCTTTAGACGTTTCAATGTTATTGCACAAGAGGATATTTTTGAACACATTTGACTAACAAAAAAAGAAACACTCCTACTTCAATGTATGCAAGTCTCCAGAGATTAGGCCTGGTGGCATTTGTGTCCAGGCTATTTTCTATAACTCATAGACACAGATGTAGCATTTTACAACAAATAGAAAGGAGAGAGATTCAACATAAAAACATTTTCTAAAGAAATCTTCTCACTCAAGACAAAAACAAGGTAAGCAGGATTTGTGTTTTTGTAAAATTCAAAGATTCACTTACATCAGGAAGCATTGATATAAAGTCTAAAGCATTTGCTTCCTTTGCAGCTTGCTCAATCTCTGCATCAGTTACATCCTCTCGACCATACCGTATGTTTTCAGCAATTGTTGTGGAAAATAGTATTGGTTCCTGGCTAACAATGCCAATGTGTTGTCTCAGCCACTTCACGTTCAAAGTACGGATATCATGCCCATTAACAGTGATCTAAAAGAACAGATATTGATTACTTTTTAGTTAACCATTTTCTATGCTGTTCATTTAGCAGTTGCCAAAGTAATTTGTCTGCTTTATGTATTATATATCCTTCCATACATTTGCTTTTCCCCATATCAAACATGCAAGTCAGGTACACTTGTTGTCATCAACTGATTTTGTTTTATGGTCTCTTCCCAATTTTCTTAAGTTGTTTATTATCTTTCGTTGGCTTAGAACCATTCAGTTTGAGGAGAAGGAAAGGAGTAATTGAATTGTTTACCTGGAGTTATCGATAACAGAAGATTGGAGCAAGGAAACGGAAATTAAACAATAGATTAGCTCTAGTTGGAGTAACAGGAAGAAGAAGTTATTAGATATATAATCATTGTTATTTGATTGAGAATTATTGCTAAATGTAAAAATCCATAAAGACAGTTGTGAGACTGGCTTTGTTACATCATGAAGACACATGACTAATATGAGGACAACATAAAGGGATACTTGTGAGATGAAGTTGCTGAAAAGTTGTGTGAAGTGATGAGAAAGAACAAACATTGAATCAATTCTTCAGTGGGACAGTGAAGATTGTGGAAGCACCAAAGAATATAACTAAGAAGAAAGTGAAATGATACAATCAATCATCTATATTCGAAAGAGAGAGAAATGTGATGAGGTAAATGATAGAGATGGGACTGCCAGGATGAAAAAGGAGACAAGAATTTTTTTCCTATGACAAGATGGAGTGATGCAGTGGAAGGATTGAAAGTGTAATTGGTGACTGACAGGAGGATTTAGAGAAGAGTTATCAACTAGAATTGTAGTGACCCCCGTTAGAAAGATCCCATTCTGCACATAGTTCACTGACTCTCGCAGAGCAGAAGACATGAGATGGTCTTCCCTAATGTTAATTCCAGAATAACTATTAGTTTTACGTCTAGATCATTGATGTAGATGAATAATGAACAGCAAGAGACTCAGCCCCGTACCCTGTGGTATGCCAATCGACACAGGCTTCCAGTCACACAGTGCCTCCTGTCACTAAGACAATATTGTCAAATTACCCTGTGAAATTGCTGGAGAAACTCAGCAGGTCTGGCGGCATCTGTGCAGACAAGGCCGAGTTAGTATTTAGAGTTGTGCCTTTGAATTAGCCTGCTTACATCCTCAGTTCATTGATGCAAAATGTTAACTCTGCTTTTTCTCCACAGACACTGCCAGACTTGCTGAATTTCTCCAGCAATTTCTGTTCTTGTTACTGAAATACCATGTATTGTTTTTGTGTTTTTTTTTAGTCTTTTTATTTCTCCTGGACTGTTTATGATAGCTTTGACAAATTTGACTCCTCATTGACCACTTTGAATATTCTGGTAGTTCGTTGACAGCTTTGGCAGTCCCAATCATCAACAAAGTGATAGGATGGGTTAATAGATAATAGTTCTATCAAGTAGCATTTGCTCAAAGAAAACCCGCTCAATAATTCTCAGTTTGAGTTTTGTCATGGCCTTCTAGCCCCTATTTCAGCCTTTGTTTTTGAAACATATTGTCAAGATGTGTTGAGTGATGTCCCACAGGAGCCTGCGCTGCATCTTCAACTTTTTATAATTTACAATCAATGACTTAGATAAAACAATCAAAAATGTGGTAGCTAAATTTGCAATTAACATAAAAATAGCTTGGAAAGTATGTGCCAAAATGACACCATCTTCCCCTAGATATTCAATTCACTGACATCAGACCTGCTCTTATCTGGTGTAATCTCCACTCTCTAGAGGCTCCAAACTCCCATGATTTTTTAAATGGCTAGCTGTATCCAAGACCCATGTATGCACAATCTATGGATTGCCTCTAATCACAACTGCATAATAATCAGAGGTACCAGATTCAAGGAGGAATTTAGGAATCCTGGCTTCTTCCTGACATTTTTGCTGTGTCAAAGAAGGTCTCAGTCATGGTGAAAAGCTAAGCCCAATTCCGTTAAGGTTATAAGGCTTATTGTCTGGGATTGCAAGAATAGCACCTCCTATAATGATGGTAGAGAACACATAACAAAGCCTTGGAGAGTTTGAATATAACTTCAGTAGAGAAAGACATAATTATATAAGCAGGACACAGTTCGTTAGTACATAATTAAATTTTTACCATTTGAATCCATCATGACTCAGCAATCTGTTCCAAGACATTCTAGCTAACAACAAAACTAACAACATTCAAATAAATTTTCTCCTTATAAACCTTGCTGCTTAGTGCTAGATTCCCCCAGAGAGGGAGACATCACATCAGCGTCTTGCCTGCCAACACCCTCACAATCTAATGTTTCAATTAGATAGGGTTTTATTCTTTGAAACTTCAACAAATATAGGCACAACCTGATCAAAACTATGCATAGTACTCAAGTTGTGGTACCACCAATGTCCTGTTCAGTCATTGCAAATCTTCCCCACTTTTATAATCTATCCCTTTGCAATAAAGGCCAATGTTTCATTTCCTTCCTAATTACTTGCTGTACCCGAATTCTGAAGGTTTGTGGTTCAAATAAAAGGACAGACAGGTTCCTCAAAGAACAATGTTTAACCTATCAAATGGAAACATGAAATCAAACTTTTTAAAAATACAAATTAAATATGACTTAAACTTCTGGTCAAAATGCCCTCCTGATTTGCATGAATATACATCCTGCAATCAACTCCATTGGAATGAAAACAGCAAATCTGTAAAACAACAAAAGACAATAGCCCCCTGAATGTGAAGGTCCCTACATCGCCTGCTTCATTAACAAGGCAGTCGCCTGGGTATTCAACAGTTAGAGATGGACCATTTAATGCTAATTGCTTGAATAATGGAACCCTTGCTTAAGATAGCTCAGCAGGCATAAACTAATTGAGTTACAATTAAAATGTAAAATTTAAATTACTGCTAGTTTGAAAGAATATTCAAACACGTTTGTGTGTTTTCAGAATGTATTCTGTCTGAACAAGAAAGTAAATTTGATCCCTCTTTTTCTACATACCAAGCAAGCTTTGAATCATTCCTTTGAAATTGCTTTTTGAAACACCTTAGGACATTTCGAATTCATGAGAAATGTCACAAAAGTGCATTTATTTTCCTTTACATTGAAGGTGACTTCATGATAAGTAGCAGTCAACTGATACATGATTCACATGTGGGAAGAGGTAAGAGTCAAGGGCAGTGGGTTGCTGGCATAAAGATGGTTGGCAGCAGCATGAGATCCACCAGCTGAAACTTTAAATCTCAATTCCATTCTCTTGTGCATAAATATCAAATTAATTATGTAACAACAGACAAACATCAGTGATCTGGACTTTTCAGCCCTGATGGATGTGAGTGGTGAGCATGAAATTCCATGCCACCAGCTAGTTGGCGTTCCCTTACTGGCACAATCCTGCTCTCAGACCATTCATCACCAAGCAGAGCCAGAGACCGCAGGGCTTTCTGCCTGTAAGCAGCAGGTGGCCACTTAATGATAGCTTGATGGCCAATTACATTCTGTTGTCAAAGGCCGACTGTGACCTTTTAGACAAACAGTTTCCAAGACACCATTCATCAAAACCCAGCTGCCTGGAGGTTGGCAACAGAATAGGAGGCTAGCATTCTAGGCAAACTTTGAAGCCTTCCCTTATAGTGGCCCATCAGCCAAGGGGAATCTAAGGTTTTAGAGTAGATTTGTAGCTTGGGTTGTGGATGGTGTGATTGGTTGGCTCATGAAACTGGTTCGTTGTTCCCCAGATGTTTCATTACTCTGCTGGATAACATCATCAGTGCAGCCTCCGATGAAATGCCGTTGTGTTTTCCCGCCTGTTATTTAAGTTCTGGAGTCTGTTGAGCTGGATTACCTCACTTCTGGTTTTCCTTCGCAGTGGAGTGTATATGGGGTCAAGCTCTATGTGTTTGTTGATGGCTTTCTTCGTGGAGTACCAGGCTTCTAGGAATTCCCGTGCTTGTCTCTGCTTTGTTTGTCCAAGGATCTTGGTGGTTCTCCTTATCCATGAGAGAGAAGAAAGCCATCAACAAACACATAGAGCTTGACCCCATATACACTCCACTCCAAGGAAAACCGGAAGTGAGGTAATCCGGCTCAATGGACTCCAGAGTTTAAAAACCAGGAGGGAAAATACAATGGTGCTTCATCGGAGGCTGCACGGATGATGTTACCCAGCAGGGTAATGAAACATTTGTGGAACAACGAACCAGCTCAGCGAGCCAATCAACCACAGCCAAAGGGACTGTTTAAATTTAGAAGTCCATCATAAAGTGTCCTTGTGCTCTCAAAATTGGGAAGGCAAACTTCTGCTCGGGCCATATTAAAAGATCTCTTATTGGCCCTCTAGCTCTAAGAGATCAACTAATGTCATTAGCTGCATGGTAAGCCTGCACACTTTGGGGGAGGGTCTCTACAGGAGACTATGTATACTTTTAAAAGAAGTTAACCAAGTCTTGGCCTATAAAAAGTGAGTCTCAATAATCAACAGTTATGGCAGATGAATTGAACAGGTATTTTACATCGGTCGGTGGGGGGGTGGGGGGGGGGGGGGGGGGGGGTGGTGCTCTTGTGGTGCATTGTTTAGTGTCCCTACCCATGGATTAAGAGCCCCATGTTCAAGTCCCACCTTCCCCCAGAGATGTGTAATAAGAACTCTGAATAGATTGATTAGAAAAATAGTTTAAATTTAAAGGAAAAAGGATAGAAGTAATATCCCAGAAGCAGCTGTACATTAGTAACTGGAAGGATGGGATAAAGTCAAGAAATTACAATCACCAGGAAAGTAATACTGAGCAAATTATAGGAACTCATAGTCAATGAGTCTCTGAGTTTTGATGATTTCCGCCCTAGGTTCTTAAAAGTGGTTACTGAGACTTTGGTTTTAATTTTCCAAAAAGTTACTAGATCTGCAGGAAGTTCCATTAGTTTGAAAAATAGCTAAAGCAAGTCCTTTATTCAAAAAGGGAAGAAGACTGAAATCAGGGCACTACAGGCCAGTTAGTTTAACATCTGCCATTGGGAAAATATTAGGAGTTATTATCAAAGACATCATTCTTAGGTAAAGTCAAGCTAGTAACGTAGAGTCAACTTTGCTTTGTTAGTGGGAAATCATGTTTCAAATCATCAGCAAACATCCTAATTGTGATCTAATCAGGAAGGAATGATCATTAATGAAGTAGATGAGGATGGCTAGGCCTAGGGCAGTGCTGAGAGGAATTCCTGCAGAGATATTCTGTAACTCGCTCAACTGATCTTCAACAACGACAACCAGCCTCCCTTGTGCTAGTTATGACTTCAGACAATGGAGAGAACTCCTTCAATACTCACTGACTCCACTTTTGCTATGGATCCTTGATGCCACACTCAGACAAGGGTGGTTTTGATGTCAAGACAGTCACTCGTACCTCATTTCTGGAGTTCAGCTTTTGCCTATGTTTGGACCAAGGTTGTAATAAGATCAGAAGCCAGTGAACAAGTTATTTCTTAACAAGTGCCATTTGATACCATGAAATGTTATTCATGAAGATGTTTCAAGGTTATCCATTCCTTTAATTCTCTGCAATAGTGGATTCTAAATCAAGACTTAAAACATGATAGCCAGCATATTTTTCAATTATTACAAAATTATTGTTGATACATAACAACCTTCCATTCTTGGTAATTGTTGACCTTGGATATGATGCTGTTTGAAACCTATGGATAATATTTATTCAATGCCATGAAATCTGCTCTCGAGGCCAGATTCTTCAAAACTAGATTTAAGTTAGAATTGATATGTGACATAAATGACATGGTCCTCTCCCAAGAGCTCAGTAAATACCACACAACCTTACCTCTCCTTCTTCTGGATCATAAAATCTCTGGAGCAGTTGAATTGTTGTAGTTTTACCACAACCACTGGCTCCAACCAATGCAACAGTCTGTCCACTCAAAACTTTCATGTTCAAGCCCTTAAGAATCTGAGATTAAAAGAAATCTGTGATTTACAAGCTTATAAAAAAGTTTTATGAATAATAATACAACTTAAAAGTCACGGCCAAATAGTGCTTCCAAACATATATTACATAGATTACTTATGCCTTTTGTTTTAATTTGTCCATGTCAACATTTTAACCTTGCATTCAGAAGAAGGTAGTACTGAATATCAAATTATAATAGTTTGCAAGATATTTGTTGATGAATACTGTAAAAAAACCTTATGGACTATTCTATAATTCACCCATTTTACCAAAAATGGGACTGTTATACCTTTTCTTGAAGATTATTATTGATGACTGAGCACCAAATGCTGAAAATTATTCAGTTTAGAGATGGATTTTAAAAATGTTGGGGAATACAAGCTGGAACATGAAACAAACTGAAACATAATTCATTATCAAAGGTAAAATGCTCCTTAATAAGAAATCTGTAAAAGCAAATCAACAATACTAATTGAAGGCCAATCAACAATATAGGATTTTAACTCATAGTCATAGAGTCCTAGAGGAGATGCTTTGGTCCAACTCATCCATGTCGACCAGACATCCCGATCTGACCTAGTCCCATTTGGGCCATATCCCTCTAAACCCTTCGTATTCATGTACCCATCCAGATGCCTTTTAAATGTTATAATTGTAGCTGCCTCCACCATCTCCTTTGGCAGCTCGTCCCATACATGCACCACCCTATGCGTGAAAAATTTACTCTTCAGGTCCTTTTCAAATCTTGCCCCTCTCACCTTAAACCTATCCCCTCTAGTTCTATGCACCCCTACCCTTGGGAAAAGACCTTGGGTATTCATCCTATCCATGCCCCTCATGATATTATAAACCTCGACAAGGTAACCCCTCCGCCTCAGACACTCCAGGGGAAAAATGCCCCAGCCTATTCAGCCTTAAAGCCACTTTTGCAAGAAAAGACTGTCAAGAAAAATGAAAATTTACTAACAAAAGGACAAAGTTTGTGTGCATTTTTAATGGAAATAACTCATTCAAATTTAGTAACTTTAAATTAAAAGGAGCACTATTCATGAACTCATTTACAAATGAACTGGATAAGTACATGGCGAAGAATGTGATTACAAGTTGTAAGGAAATGCACCAAAGAATATAAGGAAATAATCAGTGGAATACTACGGTTCTCCTGGGACTAGAACGTAGCATTGATAGAATGCAGCTTTTAATGTTTGAAAGCAGGTTGGATTTGACTCAACTAAATCTTCAAGGAAAATACTTAATTCTTTGAGCCACCAGTTTGATTCACCTGGGTTGCATGTTGGGAGGAATGGTGGAGATTTGACAGTAAGCTGAAAAGTTTGGATCTTTAATCTTTGATGGAGTTCATGCCCAGCAATCAGCCTGAGTGATAAATTGTTCTTCCAGTTAGTCAGGGAGGAGGCCACAGAACTGGGCAGGTGAGATGCTTTGCCCTCAAAATGGGGGGGGGGGGGCGGGGCAGACCTAATCCCAGGGGCATATGGGAATAGGCTTGACATTCAAATCCTGACGCTGGGGATGCAAATGAAATTAAGGAACGTTCAATATTTGAAACCAGTCAAGTGTTTGATTCCTGAGTTTGTAGGGGATTGGCTTGATCCCAAAAGAGGAATCCGATCCCTGGATTGCTTTGACTTGGATGGTATCAAGCTTAATTTGAGGGTGTGCTTATCAACGCAAATGGTTCAGCGAGAGTTTAATTGGGGTTTTCCAAATGGTTTTTAATTGTAATTCTGGCCTTCATTTTTACACATTGTCTTTTCATTGTGATGATCTATTAAAATAAATTTATATGTTTCCATTGGCTATTTAAATATTTTCCAAAGCTACAGGGGATTAATTGAAAAATACGTACCACTGTATCTGGTCTAGTTGCGTAGGCGAAGTGAACATTCTTGAATTCAATATCTCCTTTGATATTATCTGGCTTATGACCAACTTTGGAGCTGCTGTCTATGGGCCGATGCTGCAAATAAAAGAATTCAAAATAAAGACATTTGGGTTGTGATGTTTTGAAGAAGCATCAACTCTCTTTTGTGACAGGTGACCAAGTAACTCCATAAATCTTCTGGTTTGTATTCTCTTTCCAGCATTTTGCATTTTTCTTTTAGTTTACCCCTCTTCTCAGTTCTTGATTTGTACTTTTTGAACAGTACACAAGAAACTTTCAGTTATCGCAACAATCTCACCGTTCTGTTTTTGAGTGCCTGGATGGTCAATGCTTATCGAAAATTCAACCAAATGTTCAAACATGAACACCTTCCAGGAGGAAACATTAGTACATGAACAGGAGCAAGAGATTGGGTCATTTCTGTAATCTCTAGTCTTGGTTGATGAAGCCCCAACTGGTCACCTGGCTAAAATTACCACTGCATGAGAGCGTTGCGAATGGACCATTGACCTTCTGAGCTGCTGGATTAATCACCACATCACTCCTGGGAGTATCAGTTTTAAACAAGTCAAGTAATTCCTGGGTACTAGCAGCGGAACAGATATGGAAAGCATTATTTACCTTTGCAATAAGACTATACACGTTGTAAGCAGCACTTCGAGCCTTTGAAATACTTTCTACGTTCGATAGTCCCTGGCCAAGTGAGAACGCTCCTGCGACCACGGAAAAAAACACCTGCAAAGTGATGATGGAAGGCTAGTTGCAGATTTCGAGTTGAATTTAACAGAACACTGAGTTGCATTTCTGACATCCCACATAAAAAATGGGAATTTATACGGAATAACAGACCACATTTTATGACTATACGTTAATGAAAACAGGATCCTGGTTATCACCCACTATAATTATTTGTCAGCCAATGCAAATCCCCAGAGCCAAGCAATGGTTGCCTCACTTGCTGAGTTTAAGATGGTGAGTCCACCACTTTAAAGGGACACTCGGGGTAATATGCAGCATAGTTTGTGTCTTTAAGAGGTTTTACTACAGTTGGGCTTGGCTGCACAGAGGCCCTGGTATGTCCTGCATTTGCTCAGCATGAAGCACCCTTGCCATAATGGCTGAAAACATTCAACAAATGGGCATTGTCGCAAGGAACTTGTTGGTAACTGCCCATGTTTCCTACTTCCTTGTCCAAAAGTTGCTTGCTGGTACGTTTGATCAGGTTGCTCTGTATGGAGCAGATATATGGGGAACTGATGTTTGCAAGGTTAGGGATGTTGAGTGAATGGTTAACAGTTACAATATACATTGTTACATTTGACTGAATCTGTATGCGATGACCTCTGCCCCTGCTGCAGTGTATGATAGGGCAAGTGCTGAGGTTTGAGAGTTGTGACAGCAGACATAAGTGCACTAGAGAACACGCACACACATAGGTACGCTGACAGCACAAGGGCAGAGTATCCCAAAGCCATACTGAGAAGCATTTAACTGATAAGGGGGGGTGCAGGTTCAGGAGTAGGAAGTGTTCAACAAAATAATTGTTATGAAAAGGTTAATGCTGAAATTGGGTTGTGCTCCAGCCTATCTGAAAATATCATCCGACCTTTATGTGAAGAATCAGGCAGTTCAGTATGAGGTACTGATAGAGACAAATGTCATCACTGAATCCTCACAGGCTTAAGTTAGACTAACTAATCAATGTACCTTGTAGAACATAGAACATAGAACATATTGCAGTACAGCACAGTACACGCCCTTCGGCCCACGATGTTGTGCCGAACTTTTACCCTAATCCTAAGGTCTATCTAACCTCCACCCCTACCTTATACTATCATCCATATGCCTATCTAATAGACGCTTAAATGCCCCTAATGAGGCCGACTCTACTATCCTCTCCAGCAATGCATTCCACGCCCCTACCACTCTCTGAGTAAAGAACCTACCTCTGACGTCTCCCCTATATCTACCTCCACTCACTTTAAAAATATGCCCCCTCGTAATAGCTACCTCCACCCTAGGAAAAAGTCTCTGGCTGTCTACTCTATCTATACCTCTGATCATATCATACACCTCTATCAAGTCACCTCTCATCCTTTGTCGTTCTAAAGAGAAAAGCCCTAGCTCTCTCAACCTTTCCTCAGAAGGCCTTCCCTCCATTCCAGGCAACATCCTGGTAAATCTCCTCTGCACCTTTTCCAATGCTTCCACATCTTTCCTGTAATGAGGCGATCAGAACTGGACACAATAGTCCAGATGTGGCCAAACCAGGCTTTTGTATAGCTGGAACATAACTTCACGACTTTTGAACTCAATCCCTCTATTAATGAACGATAACACACCATACACCTTCTTAACAACTCTATCCACCTGGGTGGCAGGTTTCAGGGAACTGTGGACATGAACTCCAAGATCCCTCTGCTCCTCCACACTGCCACGAATCTTTCCGTTAACCCTGTATTCTGCTTTCAAGATTTTCCTTCCAAAATGAATCACGTCACACTTTTCAGGGTTAAACTCCATCTGCTACTTCTCAGCCCAGCTCTGCATCCTATCAATGTCCCTTTGTAATCTAGAACAGCCGTCCGCACTATCCACAACACGACCCATCTTCGTAACGTCCGCGAACTTACTAATCCACCCTTCCACTCCTACATTCAAATCATTTACAAAAATCACAAATAGAAGAGGACCCAGAACAGATCCTTGTGGTACACCACTCGTAACTGAGTACCATGTTGAATATTTTCTGTCCACTACCCCCCTTTATCTTCTAAGGATCAGCCAATTCTGAATCCAATCTCCCACATTTCCCCCTATCCCATGCCTCCTTAACTTCTGCATGAGCCTACCATGGGTAACCTTATCAAATGCCTTACTTAAATCCATGTATACCACATCCACTGCTCCACCTTCATCCATGTGTTTGGTCACCTCTTCAAAGAAATCAATAAGGTTTGTGAGGCATGATCTCCCCCTCACAAATCCATGCTGACTATCATGAATCAAACTGTGTCTATCCAAGTGATCAGAAATCCTATCTCTCAGTGCCCTTTCCAATAATTTGCCCACCACTGAAGTAAGACTAACTGACCTATAATTTCCGGGGTTATCCTTATTCCCTTTCTTGAACAAGCGAATGACATTTGCCACTCTCCGATCTTCCGGTACTATACCCGTGGACAGTGAGGATGAAACGATCATCGCCAAAGGGCCTGCAGTCTCTTCCCTTGCTTCCCATAGAATCCTTAGATAAATCCCATCAGGCCCAGGGGACTAATCCATCTTTAAGGTCCTCAAAATTCCTGCTACATCTTCCTTACTAACATCCATCTCCTCTAGCCTACCAGCCTGTTTCACACTATCCTCCTCTACAACTAGGTCCCTCTCAGTTGTGAATACCAAAGAAAAGTATTCATTAAGGACCTCTCCTATCTCTTTAGGCTCTGTGCACAAATTCCCTTTGCAATCCTTGATTGGCCTTACCCTTTCTCTAGTCATTCTCTTATTCCTCACGTACGTCTAAAAAGCCTTGGGGTTTTCCTTGATCCTATCTGCGAAGGTTTTCTCATGCCCCCTTATAGCTCTCCTAAGCCCTTTCTTCAGATCCTTCCTGGCAAACTTGTATCCCGCTAGAGCCTTTTACGATCCTTGTTTCCTTAACCTTATACAAGCATCCTTCATCTTCTTAACCTGTACCTATGCTATTATGGAATATATTTGTCTCTTGTTACATAAGACAAGTGCTTTGAGGTTGGTTGGTTCGCCAAGCTGCTTCATTGTTTCACAGACGTTTTGTTACCATGCTGGGTAACATCCTCAGTGCAGCTTCCGATGAAGCGTCGGTACGTTTTCCCATCTGGTTTTTAAACTCTGGGATCCTTGAGATGGATTGCCTCACTTCCGGTTTTCCTTCATAGTGGAATGTATATGGGGTCGAGTTCAATGTGTTTATTAATAGCATGGTTCATGATGTTACAAAGCATGGTAACAAAACGTCTGCGAAACAACAAACCAGCTCGGCGAGCCAACCAACCTCAACACCCACAACCCAAGCTACAGATCTACTCCAAAACACGTGCCTTTTCCAGTAGTGTCTCACTCATGGCCTATACACAACACAGATATTCAGACTGAACCTCAGACTTAGCATAAAAAGCCAGTTCTATTGACTTTTGACTCTGGTTTTGTTACATTGTATTCCAGAGATTGTCTAATCTGGTACATGTTTGTTTTCAAAACAGTGGAAAGGAGGATTCCACCTAATTATTAACCCAATTTGTCAAAGCTATCTCCTGTCCCCTTTCTGCCTTCCTGATTTCCCCCTTAAGAATATACCTACTGCCTTTATACCCTTGCAGGGATTCATTCGATCCCTGCTCTCTATACCTGACATATGCTTCCTTCTTATTCTTGACCAGAACTTCAATTTCCCTAGTCATCCAGCATTCACTACACCTACCAGCCTTGCCCATCATCTTAACGGGAGCATACTGTCTCTGGACTCTCATTATCTCACTTTTGAATGCTTCCCATTTTCCAGCCATCCCTTTATCTGCAAACATCCGCTCCCAAACAACTTTTGAGAGTTCTTGCCCAATACCGTCAAAATTAGCCTTCCTCCAAATTAGAACTGTCATTTTTAGATCCAGTCTATCCTTCCCCATCACTATTTAAAAACTAATAGAACTATGGTCACTGGCCCCAAAATGCTGTCTCATTGACAGCTCAGTCACCTGCCCTGCCTTATTTCCCATGATTGGGTCAGGTTTTGCACCTTCTCTCGTAGGTACATCCACACACTGAATCAGGAAATTTTCTTGTACAGTACACACTTAAATTCCTCTCCATCCAAGCCCTTAACACTATGGCAATCCCAGTTTATGTTTGGAAAATTAAACTCCCCGATCATAACCACTTTATTATTCTTCCAGATAATCGAGATCTCTTTACAAATTTGTTTCTCAATTTCCTGCTGACTATTGGGGGGGTCTATAGTATAATCCCAATAAGGTGATCATCCCTTCCTTTTATTCTCAGTTCCACCCAAATAACCTCGCTGGACATATTCCCAGGAATATCTTCCCTGAATACAGCCATAATGTTATCCCTAATCAAAAACACCACTCCCCCTCCTCTCTTGCTCGCCTTCCAATGCTTCCTATAGCATATATACCCTGCAGCATTAAGCTGCCAGTCCTGACCACCCCTGAACCATGTCTTTGTAATTGCTGTGATATCCCTGTCCCAGTTCCCAACCATGTCTTGAGTTCATCTGCCTTACCTGTTAGGCCTTTTGCATTGAAATAAATGTAGTTTAATTTATCGGTCCTGCTTTGTTCCGTACTTTTGTTCCTGCCTGCCCTGTCTGTTTGACTTACTCCTTTTCCTAATTGTACCAATCTCAGACTGATATCTTACCTCACTATCTCTCTGGGTCCTCCCAACCCCCACCTGACTAGTTTAAATCCTACCGAGCAGTTCTAGCAAATCTCCCTGCCAATATATTAGTCCCCTTCCAAATTCAGGTGCAATCTGTCCTTCTTATACAGGTCACTGCTACCCCAGAAGACATCCCAATGATCCAAAAATGTGAATCCTTCTGCCCTGCATCAGCTCCTCAACCATGCATTCATATGCTCTATCCTCCTTTTCCTACTCTCACTAGCCCATGGCACTGGGAATAATCCAAATATAACTACGCTCGAGGACCTACTTTATAATTCCAGCCTAACTTCCTATATTGTCTCCTCAGAATCCAGTCCTTTTCTTTTACTAAACAGCAGAGGCAGTAGCTGTGCAGATTCACTGCTGGGTCTCACAGCATTTTAGGTTTATTTCTCTGTTTGAATCACTTCCCATGTGGTCACTACCTTTTGTCTGTCTTCCTCCTTTTTAGTGTGCCATTGTTTTGATTTCTTTTTCCCCCAAAGTTCTAAAACAATGCAACAGCTTGTTAAACAGTAATTCCTGTTCCTAGAATTCAAGAAAATCAGCTCCAACACTTAAAATACCTCATAAAAGGAGCAGGTTTTACAGCCACAAATTTTTCCCATCCTCCACTTTGGATTATCCAGAGTGCCTCATTGATCAAATTAACCTGACAGGCTTGAAAATCTTTCAAGACCGGACCTGCACCCTGTGACCAAGTCTTATCTGCACAAGTCTTCTTCTGAGTGTGGTTTCACTTCTTTGTTAAGCATTTCCAATAGTTCTGAAGCCATTTCTACTGATTTGCATTTTATTCACCTTGATCTGTCTCGTACTGCTGTCAACCCCCTTCCCCATGTTATGCGGGCAGCTTATATTGCTCAAGCTTGGACCTCTGATGAGTAACAATAGGAATAGCACCAATTGTATTCACAACACCAGGAGCAGGAAGATCAATGCCAGAAGCTGGATTCTCCCCAGCCACTGGTAAATCCACAGATCCAAATCTATGAGCTTACACAGAGCTACAATTAAAAGAAGGAGAGACCTCCGATACAGGGTATGCAGGTAAAGAATCAGTGCCTCAGGAGACTCAACTCAAACACAACTTGTTGCTGACATCTGCAAATTCTGAGAAGGCCTCCCCCTTGATTGAGAACACCTTGTGTGTAGCGTGTTAATGTGGTTGGGTTAATCCACCTGCTTCAAATGTGAAAGACCTCTAATCTTCTAGTGGTGTTACGCCTCATCAGAAGTAAGATGGATACAAGTGACAGTTCCAGTAAATTGCGTCGGTCACTTGGGAGATACAAGTTGTCTGCAGCAGATTGAGAGATCCTTCACCTGTCACTAGGAGAACCCTAGAAGGAGCCAAGAACAGAGAATTTCAGAGTTGTGGTGAGGGCCAATGCGTGTGCGCTCACTTGGCCCACTGAGAAGACCTCCTTTAGATGATTATAGGTCTTTCACATTTGCTGCAGTTGGGTTCTCTTAGCTACATTAACAAGCTGCACCATAAGGTGTTCTTAAATCAACCAGTAAACATTGTCAGAGGGGATTGTGCTCCAGGATCAGCAAAATTTGTCATGTAGATCCATGCAAGATATCCTGGAAACTGCCGTGATTTCATTGTTTTCCCAAAGGGTTAGTTGCTTCAAGTAGAACCATTGGGTGGATTCTTGGAGCTGAGAGTTACCCACTATGAACATGGCTGGTGGCAGCAACAAGGAACCCTGCTGAGGAAAGATACAACCAGAGCAACATCAACACCCAGTCAAAACCGAAAGAACTGTGGCTGCTGTAAATCAGGAACAAAAGCAAACTTGTTGGAAAAGCTCAGCAGGTCTGGCAGCATCTGTGAAGAAAAAAATCAGAGTTAACATTTCAGGTCAGTTTCCTCAGTTCTGAGGAAGAGTCACCAGACCCGAAATGTTAACTCTGATTTTTTTCTTCACAGATGCTGTCAGGCCTGCTGAGCTTTTCCGCAATCAACACGTCACTCATTGAGCAGTTTATTGGGATGCTCAAGATCCAGTTAAGGTGTGTGGTAAGACATAGTCACTGAGAAGTGCTTCCATCAGCAAAGTTGTGCAGAAAGGTTGTAGATGCAGTTCCTTTCACAAGAAACTTAGAAAATAGGAGCAGCTGTAGTCCATTCGGCCCTTCAGGCTGGCTCCGCCATTCACCATGGTTGATCACCCAACTCAGTACACTATTCCTGGTTTCTCCCCATACTTTGTGATCCCTTTAGCACTTAGAACTATATTTAACTCCTTCACGAACATATTCAATGTTTTAGCCTCAATTGTGGTAGTGAATTCCACAGGCTTACCATTCTCTGCAAGAAATTTCTCCTGCGACTGTGACACCTGGTTCTAGACCCCCCAGTCATCAGGAACATCCATCCTGTGTTTAGCCTGTCTAGTTCCATTAGAATTTTAAAGGTTTCACTGAGATTCCTCCCCAACCCCCCTTTATTCTTCTAAACATCAGTAAAAATAATTCTAACTGATCCAATTTCTCTTCATATGTCAGTCTTGCCACCCGAGTGTGATAGCCCTTTCCAGGCCATAGTGCAGAGAGGCTTGCAGCTGGAGGGGGGATGAAGGTGATAGCTCAGTGTTACCCCTCATAGGAGAAGGAAAAGGAGAATATCCTTCCTATAACAGGTCAACCAGAACTATATGCAGTACTCCAAAAGTAGCCTCACCAATACAACTGCAAGATTACATCCCAACTCCTACATTCAATGTGTACACAACTCCTGGTTTAACAAAATGAATAATCCTTTTCCTATTACATATGCTCCATGGGGCTTCAGCAGAGCTAGAAGCAGGCTGCTTGTTTTACTATTATGTAAACTGAATGTCATTCACCTTTCTTGCCCTCATGACGTCAATGAACCACTTGCAGCACTCTGGCCCCATGCGAGGGACCAAATTCCTGCTGGTCATTACATCTGCTGCTTCCCGCTGTGTGCCTGTTTGATCTTAGAAACTGACCTCATCCTCTTCTCTTTTGGAAAAACAATACCTCTCTGTGGGTTCTCCCAGCTGCCCCAGGACTTCCAGGAAAAAGAGAGCCAGCAGGTAGCTGTCCCATGTGGTGTTTTGATTCTTGTGCATGCTCAAGCCTCAGGAACCCATTCAGACCATGATCCCTGCTGGAGCCCCTTTAAATAGAAATTCTTCCATTGACAAGTGCAAGTTGTTACAATCTCTGCACTCAATGACTGATCAGAAAACTCGGAAGTGGGACATTAACGCCCGCTTCTCTTGTAATCAGGTTTTTGTTGTCAGCTGGTCAGATGAGACCAGGTTGGTGAAATAAAATTTCTTCCTGCTAACTGAAATAGCTGGGTACAGCTAATGTTATAGTCCAGCTAGCATAGACTATGAAATCCCAGCCCACCCCCTGGACTTAGATATTTTCTGATCATGTTATTACACATATCTGGAGCATGTGCCCCAGATTTATGAAAGAATTGATAAAGATGAACAAAAACCATAAAAGAACAACAGATCCTGGTAAGAGGGATAGTAGGAACTGCCGATGCTGGAGAATCTGATATAACAAGGCGTAGAGCTGGATGAACGCAGCAGGCCAAGCAGCATCAGAGGAGCAGGAGAGCTGATGTTTCGGGTCCAGACCCTTCTTCAGAAAGGGTCTAGACCCGAAATGTCAGCTTTCCTGCTCCTCTGATGCTGCTTGGCCTGCTGTGTTCATCCAGCTCTACACCTTGTTATAGCAGATCCTGGTAAACCTAGATATAGTAACTTCTCTTTTCTTTATTTCCGCCATCTTCTATACAAACCTGGGGGACTGAAGTTTCCTGTTTCTAACTCTCCTACTGGCTGAAATAAATGAGCAGAAGGCAACAAAATGTGAAGTGTCCAAGTAGAAGACTCCAAAGCAATGCTCCTTTGAAGGTGTCTGGGTGCTCAACAGTTAGGGCCATTCTGCACAGGGAACAAATAGGCCACATACATGCAATGTTCCCTTTAAGATGCATTCATGTAGGGTCACACAGCAGTCTTCAGGACTGGTGCAATTCAAAAAGACAGCAGTGCACAGCAAACAAAAATGGCAGAGAATATTGCTCCGATCCTAATATTTTCTCTTTTTCCGTTCACAGGATGAGGGGGGGGTCACTGGCTACGCAGCATTTATTGCCCAGAGGACAGTTCAGAGTCAACCACATTGCTGTGGGTCTGGAGTCACATGTAGGTCAGACCAGGTAATGTTATCTGGGTCTCTGTATTAACAGTCTTGCGGCAATACCACTAGGTCATCGCCCAGTGACAAATGACAAAATGATTCTGCAAAACGATGTGTAATTCAACTACCAAAATACCATACTCACAATCAAAACTCGTCCAATTGAATAATTTTCAGGTTCATCGACAACTAGTTTGGACCCATACCAAAATGCAAGAGCATAGGCACCATAACTGAAAAAGCGCTGAAGTCCTATAAAAATATTTGTGATGACGGCTTTCTTTATTCCAATATCTTTAGTATGCTTTAAGTTGGCTTCATATCTGAAACGATTAGAAATAAGGAATGACCACAAAAACTGTAAAGTGTTTTACAGTTCATTGTATTATTATTCACCAAAGAATAAAATGCAATTGTACATCTTTCTGACACAAATCATGTACGCAGTGATTGTAAACTATCTAAAGTTTCTTGTGCTGTTGGCAAGTTCGAACTGTTATGTAATATATCTTTAAAAATTGACAAACAATGATTCTATTTTCAGAACACATGTAGAATTTTCATTTATTTGCATTGTACAATGTCAGAGTTGCCATAGGTCAACTTAGAATGAAACTTACTTTGCTAGTGCTTTTTGTTGGCCATTAAGTGCAAAGACTGTTCTTATTCCCATTAGAATTTCTTCAGCCACTGCCCCTGCTTTAGCATAAGCTGTCAGTTCCTTACTGTTCAGTGTTGTCAACATCTGTTTCAGTGTAAGAGATGGTGATAAGTAATATATAAAATGGACAAAACTGCACTTATTTAAATTTGGAAGACAAAATTATTGTCAGTGCTTGGTAGGGCAAAACTTAAACTTTGCTAAAAGGAGACAATAGATCAAAGCTTTTCATCTTGCAATCAACAAAACTAGGATGCAAGGAACAGACTTGAGAAAAAATGCACCATTTTATATGTTATGAGAAGAGGGTATTGATTGGTTGAGTCATCAGTGGCCTGGTGGTGCAGCAAGAACAGTTAACTGTCAATCTTAATTCTCAGAGCAGGCAGGTTGATTCTGATTGTTCAGGGTTTTCCCATGTTGCTGGTGACACGGGTTCTAGCATTTATTAATGTACCACACTGTGAACCCGACTGATGATCTTAAAATAGTTTCCTGTGTAACTCTTACCACGGTTTGGATTATTCAATACATTATTTCCAACAATAGTATCATGTCTAAAAGTAGGTATATTTTTCTGGGGATTGTAAGCATGGGCTGGTTAAGCACGAGTGGCATGCTACCAGCTGCAGATGGCCAATTGGACATGTTGTTTGATAAAGTCTGCCAGTTGTTGGGACATACAGCCTACATTCCCATCATTCCCATCTGCACTGAAACATTTATCACATTATTATTTACTGTAGCCACACAAATGTTTGGTTTGACAGTGGCATCCCATTAGTGGAGAGAACCACTCAGTGGTTTATTGCATTGTAGCAATGTGAGACAGCTAGCTCCATGTGTTTTCCAAAACTTTGTGACATCTTCTCCTTCCAAGGTAATCTTAGGTAGAGTGGAAGGCAAACATTCCACTCTCGAGAGTTCAGTTATTGAAATTATTTAAGGGGAGTGGATGACTTCAATTTCAGCTGATTTCACAGTTAGTTTCTTGGAGTTGGGTAAGTTGACTGTTAAAATGAGTCAAAAAGAGCCAGGTAAGTGTCTTTACAGCATTTCCTGTTGGCCACAATGTGCAGGAATGTTGTCTCCAGCCCAAAACAAATTAAATCAACTTTGAGACCCATGATGAGCTTTGATATTTCTGCTCTTCACCTCAGTCTACATTTAAAAAGCATAACTTCAGTCTCTCCAGCTTCGATCTCCCATCTGTGATCCCCCCCTCACTACCCCACGTATAATTTCCCACCCCATTTTCACTTCTCTCAGCTCCATAGCTACAGTCTTCTCTTTCATGCTTTCTCCCCTGATGGGAAGTCAGTTTGTCACTCAAACTAACTGTCACAGAAGAAACCTGATAAAAAGTGTCAAAGAGATCCTGCTGCTATTACAGCAAGACTTTGGGGAAACACTTCTTTTTGGATCCATAATCCAGAAATCCACCTGTGCACCTGCCCTAACTCCCAACTCTTCCCTTACCTTCTCAATTTAGTCTCTTCATGGCCCTGAGAAAACATTGGCACCAATATTCAAGATACAGTTCAATCAAATTAATATAAAATTTGATCACTACATTTTGACTTTAGTCTACTGTTTTGTCAACATGGCTTAAGACTGTTTGACTTTGTTAGTTTCTGTTCTGAACAAATTAGAAATACTTCGTGTCAAATTTACAAAGCCCCCTAAGCCTCAACTTTGGCATTTCACTGAGAATATGTGCTGTTATTTTTTCCTTGTTATGTCCAGCAAAGGTGCTATATGAAATCTAAGATGTTCTGTATCTCACAGAATATATATTGTACTAAAGATCTATTTTAAAATTACATTTCAGAAACTTCTCAATAGCATGTATATTTGCACTATGTAACGTAATCTGGATATTATTTTATGCCACTTTTTTTTTACATTTGACATAACTTGGGCAGGTCAAGCTAATTACGACGTGCATTAGGTACTAATAATGAATTTCAATTTCATGCAATTTAGTTTAATAAAAAATGTTATTTTACCTGAAATAGCGTTGACAAATGTTGAACATAAAATGTGTTAAATACTCAATACCTATCTACTTTCCATTCCATAAAACCACAATAACCGTAAATATTGAAAATTAGGCATTTTATTGGCTTGTATAATTGAAGCTGCTGATAAAATTCATTGGATCAACTTCAAGTATTTTTCTAATCACATTTGAGTAATCTATCATGTTTGATTTGAATGTACTTGTGTTTTAAATTTCATATTTGCTGAAACTAATGTTTTTACCTCCTTTTTAGTTTTCTATGGACTTTCTCTCTGTTTATTTAATCCCTCTGCCACAAGCAACTTGAACATTTGTCATTTACATGTCTGGATGATCAGATGTGGGGGTACCTAAATTTGACTTTGGGTGAGAATGTAATATGGGTGATATGGATCAGCTGCCAATATTCAATCCTTATGATTTTCATTTCTATCAAAGTCAGTGAAAATAAAAATTGAGATTGATCAAGGTCAGAATTATCTCCATGAACTTCTATGTCACAAGTTTTATATTTAGCAATTTTCAGTATATTAGACATAGTAACTGCCTCTCAATGGTTAGTGTATCTGTTGATTCTTTCTCCTGTCTTTTCTGTTTCTGACTTTATTAAACTGTCTCTTTAAGTCTCAGTTTTTGATCTGATAAGGAATTAACACACCAAATTTCATAACGTGTCTTTTTTGCTTCATATATGTTGTTTGACCTATTCCTTTTTAAAACAATTACTGCAGTAGCTGTTACAAAATTGAAATTGGTGTAAATTTGTAAGTTATTGTTAAATACTTAATTCCCAATATTTTATTTCCAGTGTCTTTTGTCACAAATGACATTATTCTTTCTCACTGTTATTGAAGTAGATTCATTTCACACATCCATAACTATCATTATGCATATTACATTACTAGTTTGTTTATTAGCTTCTCTAAAATACAGTAACAGCCTTAATAGCATACTGGCTCCATTTTATTGGGATCAGGTATTAAACTTATTGAAAAGATATGTTATGCTTGTACCTTTGTCCATGCTGCTACTATGACCATGATAAGGGGACACACTGCCAATATGACTAGTGTAAGCTTCCATCCATAGACAAATCCAATGATAAATCCTGTCACAGAAGTGCTAGATAACTGTGTGAATATGCTGATCTTGTCTCCGAGACCCTCTTTGACAGAATTTATATCTCTGTTAGTGTAAAAGATACAGAGTTAATTACTGTCATCAGTATAATTATGTAACTTAAACAATGTCACATTAAATTAATATTATGAGTACAATTTTCTATGGTTATGTAAAATAGTTTTTCATAGTTTAAATGCTACCAAGAAACACCAATGTAGCAACTACAAAGGATCTGACAGGATCTTGTATGACAGTCTTTTTGAGTTATTTGTGACCTGTCAGCATAAGTTATTACATTCCGCTACCATACAGACATCAAACATATTTACCTATTTCCTTATCAACAAACATCAAAAGATCAGGTATACAACTTCCATGCTCTGACTGAAAGATCCACCTTTGTTACCTTCATATGTGACAGTAGTTTCAGAGAAAGAAGTGAAACATACATGCATTTTGTCATAAGTAACTTAAACAGCAATCGCAGGAAAATCTAAGTAACTGTTAAAAATACAGAAATAGACAAAAGTGATATAGAAAGAAATATGGCCATTATATAACTGTGGTAGAGTAATAAAGTTGCTTAAATATGCTGTTGGGCCAATTAAATATATGAATTAAGCTGCTTTTTTTACAATATTTGATAATCATAAAGAGCAGCTAGATTTTAAAGCTCAATTACTTACTCCAGCAGCCTTGTGTTTAGTTCACCTATTTGGACTGAGTCAAACCAAGCCATTTCTTGATGAAGAATTGCATGGAAAAATTTTTGCCTTATTCTTCCAGTCTGTCGTATGCCAGCCAATAAAAACATGGTGACATGTAAACTGCCTAAAATCAGGGCAGCGAACCCAAGACCCATAAAGTAGAGGGCAAACCTATAGTAATGAAGAATTTTGAGTAAAAACATTGCAGGAAGTTGACGTGTGAACTCTAGTTAAGGATAGTGACTGTAGTAAACTTATTTCAAGGTTCAATAATCTACTTACAGTGTCATGTCACCTTCCAAATCCAGTCCAGGTATTTTAAAACATGCATCTGTTGAGCTGTTGTTAAATGCTGTTAAGACCAAAGGATATATATGTATTAACATAGATGCTTAAAGCTATAGACAATTGTTAAAGGACAAATGCATTGTTGTATTCAGCACCAATCTATACATTTCATAAAAATTTTAGGTTTCTGTGATCTACTGTGGTGAAGTTAGCGTTAGGATTATTGACCTTGCATCCCTGGTAACAGAGGCGAAATATCAACCAAGTGCTTTGTTTTGTCAGTTTCCAATGGCTGTTGCTGGAATTCTTCTATTGAGGAGGTGATCATCTGTGAGGGTTTAACATTCACCAGTATTCGTTATTCAAGCTCACACATGAACACTGGCCATAAATTTCCCATCCCCAAAACACAGGCAATGGCGGGACAGTTGGAAAAATATAATAAGAATAGCAAAATGAGATTCTCGTTGTCCAGAAGAAAAAGATTAACTTTTCACCCAAGGTTCAAATGGTGAGGTGAGAATCTTCCTAGGGAGCATCAAGGGACTTATTTTCAGACATTAATATCTCATCATTACCTAATTGTGTCTCATTTAAATGCAGTTTGCTGTTTTCCCAGGCAGTGGAGATGGTGCCAATTCTCAACATGAAACTCTGAGCAGGCACTTAGTGGCTGCAACTTCCCTCCACCTTGGTCAGCATTCGCCAACATCTCAGGGAACACTTCATGGGCAGCAGCTGCTTGCCCCCTTCATCTGTGGAGGTTGGCATAAACAATGCACCAGCCTCATCACAGCATCATGGCACATTAGTGAGTCACTTATAAAACTGTTTAGCACTTCACTATTGTACTTTGTAGCTCACTGACACTTTTCATTGCAACGCTGCTGACAGGCCACTTTGTATGTCGGAACAGACATCCATCTGATGCATCAGAACAGGCTCCATCTCATGGCTTCTGTTCTGAGGAAGGATCACTCGACTCAAGATGTTAACTCTTGTTTCTCTCCTCAGATGCTGCCAGAACTGCTGAGCTTTTCCAGCAATTTCTGCTTTTCATTCTGATTTACAGCATCCACAATTCTTTCAGTTTTTATTTTGCTTCTCATAGCTGTTGGCTTGCTTTCTTAGCGCTCACTCCCTTTGCACTTACTTGGATGCTTATGGCATATCTGCCTTGCTTTTTAAGAACACAGGTAGCTAGGCAGCTTGTCATGTCTGGTGATTATGAACCATCAAAGGGAAATATGATCAGTCAGGAGGCTGATCTGTTGTCAGTCAGTAAAGGTGGAAAGGTGTATTGACTGAATGAGCATGAAAGGCGGAGGGCAGGAAAGGTTGGCAGATTGTGGGGGAGGTGGTGGTTGGAAGGGAGTTAGTGGGAATTTGGGGTGGTTGAGAAGCATTAGGATGCAGCAGCAGAGTTACAGTGTGTGTGAGGTAGCAGAGAGAAAAGTGTGGCACTTCTATTTGAGGAGCACAGAAGATCATTAACCGTCCAGCGGCATTGCTGAGCATTCCTGACTTGGGTGGCTACTTCAGACCAGCTGGCAGTGTTTGGCATAGCACACAGCTGGGATTTGAATGTGGCACCCACAGTGTGAATGCCAGAAGGACCCAGCACCAGTGAGTATTTTGTTGCTGCCGCTGAGCATAAGACAGTGCAAGAGCGGAGTCACGTTTGAGACAACAGCCTCTTCATATCAAGTCTCACCAGCAACTTTTCTCTACCACTATAAACCATACAGTCCCTTAAACTGAGTCAAGGAAGGAGGATAGTGGCAACAAACTACCCGAAGCACAAGCTGGTAATGGTTTGCATCATAGCATATACAATACAGTAGTAGCAGTGGGCATCATTGCTTAATACCACAAAATAACAATGGCACAAATTCCAATGAACCATGAGCAGAAAATTACAATGTATCGGTCTTCGGCACTTTCTGTGTTTGCTGCACAGACCAGTATCTATTCCCCTAACTATACTATCTCTATTACTACCACACTTTTCTTTTCTCCCTGTACTCAAACGGTGCTCTGTACCATCGAGCTGTGGTCAGTTTGTTCATCATTCCTGTCGTCTGTGTCCAATCCACACCAGGGGGAAGAATTTTATACCTATTGGACAAAGGCTCTGGCTGAAGCTTTTTCAAAGTTAAATCCTGGATCCCCATACTTACCTGACTCATGATCACACCTTTTTGTCCCTGTGATTAATCTAAGGTGTGTGCCTGCATCCTGAAACACAGAATCCTGGTAATTCCACCCCCTCCCTGATGAGTCACAGTGTCTGCAGCACATCAACTCGGAGCTGAAATTCCTTGAGCAGCCAATACTTGCTGAAGATTGCACCAGAGTCCACCGGCTCTTGAATATTACAACTGCAATACATCACCTGCCAGGCCCCTCTCTTCTATTTAACAACTTAATTTGATTGTAAAGTATTGTAAAAGTGTGTTTCTTAATTGTATTTTTCAGCTGTAATAATATCTCCTGATTAAAATCACTTGGCAAATCAAAAGAGACACAGAAGAAATACTGGTCAATCACCCAATTATTTTCCTATGATGTCATATTTTGATGAGTTTTTTCTGCTGTAATATATTTTTACTGATATATTTTATCCTGAAATAGAGAACCAAGTCCAAAGCTAGTAATAGTGACTGAATTCCTATAATGATTTAAAATTTCTTTGGATGAGGTTTTAGCTGAACAATATAATCAACTGGATTATACTGGTGGTGTAAAGATGGTAGAACCATTAACACTCTCAGCTAACATGCATCCTTAGTAATGTGAGATTGGAAGGAACTAGGTTCAGAAGTTACTGCATTAATTTTAAATGCGCTCAGAATGTTATTAATTTTACCGAACATTATAATACAGAAACAGCAAAGATAGGATCCAAGATAACAAGGTGTAGAGCTGGATGAACACAGCAGGCCAAGCAGCTACAGAGGAGCAGGAAAGCTGACGTTTCGGGCCGAGACCCTTCTTCAGAAATGGGGGAGGAGAAGGGGATTCTAAAATAAATAGGGAGAGAGGGGGAAGCGGATAGAAGATGGATAGAGGAGAAGATAAGTGGAGAGGAGACAGACGGGTCAAAGAGGCGGGGATGGAGCCAGTAAAGGTGAGTGTAGGTGTGGAGTTAGGGAGGGGATAGGTCAGTCCAGGAAGGACGGACAGGTCAAGGGGGCGGGATGAGGTTAGTAGGTAGGAGATGGGGGTGGGGCTTGAGGTGGGAGGAGGGGATAGGTGGGAGGAAGGACAGGTTAGAGAGGCAGGGTTAGGGATGCGGTTGGTGGAGGGGAGATTTTGAAGCTTGTGAAGTCCACATTGATACCATTGGGCTGCAGGGTTCCCAAGCGAAATATGAGGTGCTGTTCCTGCAACCTTCGGGTGGCATCGTTGTGGCACTGCAGGAGGCCCAGGATGGACATGTCATCCAAGGAGTGGGAGGGGGAGTTGAAATGATTCGCAACTGGAAGGTGCAGCTGTTTGTTGCGAACCGAGCGTAGGCGTTCCGCAAAGTGGTCCCCAAGCCTCTGCTTGGTTTCCCTGATGTAGAGGTGGCCACATCTGGAACAGCGGATACAGTATACCACATTAGCAGATGTGCAGATGAACATCTGCTTGATATGGAAGGTCTTCCTGGGGCCTGGGATGGGGGTGAGGGGGAGGTGTAGGGGCAGGTGTAGCACTTCCTGCGGTTGCAGGGAAAAGTGCCGGGGTGCGGGGCTGGTGGGGAGTGTGGAGCGGACAAGAGAGTCCCGGAGAGAGTGGTCCCTCCGGAAAGCAGATAAGGGTGGGGAGGGAAAAATGTCTTTGGTGGTGGGGTCGGATTGCAGATGGCGGAAGTGTCGGAGGATGATGCGTTGGATCCGGAGGTTGGTGGGGTGGTATGTGAGGATGAGGGGGATTCTGTTTTGGTTGTTATTTCGGGGAGGGGGTGTGAGGGATGAATTGCGGGAAATGCGGGCGACACGGTTGAGGGCGTTCTCGACCACTGATGGGAGGAGAATCAAGTTTGCTAAGTGAAAAGGTTCTCTGTTTACCAATTATCTTTGAGTGATAAAACTGCTTAAAAAAGTAATAATTTCATTTTTTTTTAGCTGAATGAAGCATCAAAGCATTTTCAGTACCTGCAGTAGAGATGTTAGGCATGATACCACTGCTGACAAAACTGTCCGTCATTTCTCCAAAAACAATGATCACGAGAGGCAAAGCAACTCCATGTACTATTGCACAGATCAGTCCTAGTAATATCAACAGGATGTCCAATCGATCTGCAAAGCGAAACTGTAAACAACAACATGCCTCATCAATAGATACATCACATTAAACTATGAAAGATATAAATACAGTGAACATATTATTCTGATTGTAATTTTGATAACAATTGGTAAATGCTGATGTATGTTCAGCTTCTGCTTGGATATTAACAAGGCCCTGCTTTACTTCTACCCGATCTCTCTTGATATTCCCAATACTGTTGCACTATTAGATTGTTTGGCCAATTCCCTCAGGTGAATATTGGGAAAACTAAAGTTACTGTATTCAGCCTGCTTAAAAGTTTGATGCCCGTGCTGCAGGTTTCTTCCGTTTCTCCAAACATTGTCGGAGGATGACTCCAGTTGTTCCCCCTTTAACATCCGATTTAGCCCCAAGTTTAGTTTATGACTACTTATCTTTCATATTTCACCCCCTTGCACCTGCACCAACATTCAATAAGATCATGGCTTATCTATGGTCTAATTCCATATGCCTGCCTTGTGCCCATAACTCTTGATACCCTTACTGAATAAAAAATTGTCTATCTCAGACTTAAAAGTTAATCATTGAATTAGTGACAACCACCATTTTGAGGAAGAGAGTTCCAAACCTCCATTACTCTTCATAGAAATGCTTCCTGACATCACTCTTGAATATCTCAACCCTAATTCTTAAACTATGCTCCCGGTTCCAGAGTCTTTGACCAGTGGAAATAGTTTATCTTTATCTATTTTGTCTTTACCTGTTAATATCCTGAAGACTTCAATTAGATCACCTCTTAACCTTCTAAATTTTAGAGAATAAAGACCTGATTTGTCTTATCACTCCTTAATACCTAATAACTGAAGTCCAGGTATCATGCTTGTAAAGTTCCCTCATGAGCTCCCTCCAAGGCTAAAACATCCTTCTTAAAGTGTGGTGCCCAGATCTGAACACAATACTTTAAGTAGGGTCTAACCAGGGTTTTGCATAATTGCAGCATAACATCTGCATTCCTGTACTCCAGCCTTTTAGATATGAAAGCTAGCATTCCATTAGCATTATTGAAATACTAAATCATCTCTGTAAAAGTCTCAGTCCTCAATAAACTTTAACTCATAGAAAGTTTTGCTGCCTATCATCCCACAGCAGGGCAAGAATTTTGACCACTGAAGCCCCTACCTCAGAAGTTAGCTTAGAGGTGAGGGGAGGAGATAAAATCAAGGGGGATGGTGGCCCTCTTCCCACTGTCCTCCCTACCACCAAGATTTAAATGTAGTAGGGATGGGACAGCTGCTTTTCGAGTTGCCATGGAGACCAAATGATTCATGTATTCAAGTGCAGGCCAGCAATATACAGTTCTTATTGCGTAAAGAAAAATAGGAAAAACAAACCAGTTCAAAAATTCCGACCGCCTTTGTTACCTCCTTTTCTTTATTCTCACTCTTTCCTCTACAGAAATCAAATAAAATCTAAGATTAGTTTGCAGTGAAAATAGCGAGAAAATCTGTTTGCCTCTGAATTGTAGAGGATTCCTTACTTTCCTTTCTGTGGATGACCAGCGTCTGCATTCCCATCCTCCTGGTAGCCTTGATTGTCATAGCCAACAGTTGAGGATCCTGTGGGAAATTTGTCAATATTTTGATCAAGACTTTTGTTTTTGTTGCTATTGAACTAAATGGCATAAAAACAATGGGCACATAAAACATACTTAGCCCTTTGTATCTACACTGTTTGTTTGAGTAATTAGTTTATTCTTTCACAAGTCCTTTCTCAATCTCCACCGCTGTACAGGTAGTTTTCTCTTAAGCCTATATTTTACTCAAGTTTGATAGTGCTGAATCTCCTTCAACACTGGGTCAGGCAATGGATGCAAGATGATTGTGACAAATGGCATGGAAAGGCAGAAAGAAGCCCCCACCTTCCCTTTGCTTTTTACTTGTCTAAACTCAATATTCTTTTCCTGCTAAAAACCATTTTTCACTCTCTACAATCGAAACCCTTCACAAAGTTCAACACTCTTATTACATCGTCCTTTCATCTTCTTTGCTGCCTGGCCGTGATGGAGGAAGAGCAATGCTCTGGGACAGCCAGCAGCCACAATGGGCCAATGTGGGATGAAAGGGACAGGTTTCCCCTCGCTTTATCTATTAACCCACACATGATCCCAGCCAAATGTCAGGCAGCCCATCACCCATTTAATTCCTTCGGGCCTATTATGGGTTCTTTTCCTCCGAAGATGAGACAGTGAGTGGCACAGCTGTTACTTTAGGTGCAGATGGGGATATGAACAAAGTGAGTGAGTACAAAACACACAGGGTTGGCTGCCTAATGTTCAGCTCCTCACCCCTTATGTTGGAGAGGATCTTGACTCAAAGCATGGACCCTGTCCAAGGTTCTGGGGCTGGTACTGGAGGCTGATTTTGGCTTATTTTACAGGCACTTAGTGGCAGACAGCTATCTTCCTAGACTTGACTGAGGACTATTGACAACCTTAACAAGCTTCCTGGTTTTGTGTTTCCACTAAAGGGTGAGATAATACAACAGTAATGTGAGCCTGTTACCTCTGACTGAGGGGGTAAAGTGCAAAAAGGCAAGGCAACACTGGTATGCTGTGAAATGACAGCATGTGAGGTTTTGGGGGTTGGGATGGGTGAAAGTGAGTGAGGGAAGATGTTATGGGCAAACAGTGAGAGTGATAGCACATGAGAATTAATGGGAAGTGGGTACAGTAACAGAGATAAGGTGAATGTGAAGTATCAGAGAAAGATGGTGGCACTTACACTGGTGGAGTGAAGAAGGTAATTGACCTTCTTTCTACATTTGCTGTTCGTCCACCCAGATAACTGAGACTGTACTGATCTGGGTGGCAACCTGAGACCAGGCTGACATAGTCTGGTGCTGTGGCCTCTTCTGTTGGTCCTGAAGGAAGATGGTGTCCTGGCTGTGCGTCACCCCAGCCAACAGCTGCTCCAGGACACTACCCACTGGGTGAGGTGCCAGATGTCCATTGTTTGTCATACCCGGGACAAATGCCAGGAAATGTGTAGGGCAGCTGCAGACTGACTGTGCTTGTTCAAATTCATGGAAGCCTTTCAAATGTCATGCCGGTGCTGGTGCCAGGGATGCTGTGATACCCAGCAGTGGCAGATCGTCCCAGGAATGGCGCATAGTTGCATGGAGCTGAGATTGGATGAGTGGGATGACAAAGGGGCAAGGTGGGTTAATGAGGTGAGAGTGACAAGAAATGATAGCTAATAAGGTGAATTTGGTAAGTTACAGTGAGAAAACCAGCTTGTCCTCATTAAGAAAAGACCTCTAAAAAACTCGACATAACCTGCACTCAGACAGAAAAAAGCAAGATTCATCCCCCCCGACCATCAAGGAGAATCATCTCCAAATCCCTAAATTCAGCAACTTTAAAATCTGTGCTGCTTTTTATGACTTAGCTGAAACATAGGAGGCTCTAACATCTTCTGACTCATGGTTCAATCCCTTGTTCTCTTTTTGTATATGTCTGATCACTCAGTAATTCTCAGCTGGATTGTTAGGATTGTGCCAACAGAATGAAAACATCCTCCAAATAGTCATAACTTGCCCAGGTCATCAATACAATTCAACATTCACACCAAAAAGTGTTTACAACAAATCCATTTATCCTGTTTGACCATTAGAAATAGGGACAGGAGTAGGCCATTCAGCCCATCAAATCTGCTCCACCATTCAATAGGATCATGGTTGATCCAACATGCCTCACATGCATTTTCTTGCCCTTTTCCCACAACCCTTGATTCCTTTAATGATCAAAAATCTATCTGAGCCTTTGATATACTCAAGGACTCTGTCCCCACAGCTCTCTGAAGTAAGAAGTTTCAAAGATAACAACTCTCTGAGAGGAGATACTCCTCCTTATCTCATTTTTAAGTTTTTCTCCCTCCCTTTATTCTGAGACTATACCCTCTGGTCCTAGACTCTCCCATGAGGGGAAACATCCTCTCAGCATTTACCCTGTCAAGCCCCTTCAGGGGCTTTCTATATGTTTCAATAAGTTTACCTCTTTTTCTTCTAAACTCTGGTGAGTACAGTATCATCCTGTTTAGCTGTTGCTCATAAGACAATGCTTCCATACCAGGGATCATCCTAGTGAGCCTTCTCTGAACTGCCTCCAATGAAATGATATCTTTCCTTAAATAAGGCGACAAAAGCTGCTCACAGTGCTCCAGATGTTGTCTCACCAGCACCTTGTACTGTTGCAGTAAGACTCCCCTACTCTTATATTGCTCTTGTTACATTGACAGTTTGATGTTAGAATTCTCACCTGCCTTGTGGGAGGTATGAGTTCAATTCCCAGCCAATGCTTGGCAGTCTTTTTCTTCCATTCTTTGGGAGGTCTTGTCTCACAAATGATTGAGTTTTTTGAGGAAGTGATGAAGGTGATTGATGAGGGTCAGGCAGTGGATGTTGTCTACATGGACTTTAGAAAGGCCTTTGACAAGGTCCTTCATGGTAGGCTGGCCCAGAAGATCAAATTACATGGAATCCATGGTGAGTTGACAAATTGGATACAAGATTGGCTTGGACATTAAAGACAGAGGGTAGTTTTGGAGGGGTGTTTTTTCTGACTGGGGGTTTGTGACCAGTGGTGTTCTGCAAGGATCAGTGCTGAGACTTCTGTTATTTGTAATATCTATAAATGACTTAGATGAAAATGTCAGTCGTCTGATTAATAAATTTGCAGATGACACAAAAATTGGTGGAATTTGTGGATAGAGAGGAAGGATATGAAAGGAGGCAGCAGGATATACATCTGGTGGAAAGTTGGATGAAGAATGGCAGATGGAGTTTAATCCAGACAAGTGTGACATAATGCATTTTGGGAGGCGAAATTCAAGAGGAAAGTATACAGCAAATGGCAGGACCCTTAGGAGCATTGATATACAAAGAGATCTTGGCTGGCTGAAAGTGGCAACTCAAGTGGATAAGTTGGTAAAGAAGGTATATGGCATGCTCACCTTCATCAGTCAGACTTTGAGTATAGAATTGACAAGTCATGTTGCAATTGTATAAAACTTTGGACAGGTCACATTTGCAGTTCTGGTCACCACACCATAGGAAAGATATGGAGGCTATTGGAGAGGATACAGAAGAGGTTTACCTGGATGTTACCCGGATTGGAGTGTATTAGCTATAAGAATAGGTTGGACAAACTTGTATTGTTTTCACTCGAGTGTCGGAGGCTGAGGGGCTGCCTAATAGAAGTTTATAAAATTATGAAGGATATGGAAAGGGTGGATAGTTGTGGTCTCTTTCTCAAGGTGGAAATGTCAAATATTAGGGGGCATAGGTTTAAAGTGAGAGGGGGAAAGCTTAAAGGAAATGCACAAGGCAAGTTTTTTTATGCAGAGGGCTGGAACATACTGTCTCAGGAGGCAGTAGAAGCATGTATGAATATGAGGCATTTAGACAGACACATGAACAGGCAGGGAATAGAAGCATACAGACCATGTGCAGGCAAATGGGATGAGTTTATATTGGCATCATGAACTGCACAAGCATGATGGGCCGAAGGACCTGTCCCTGCCCTGTACTGTTTTGTGTTCTATGTTCTAATCCCTGAAATAAGGCCAAACATTCCATTTGCATTCCTGATTACCTGCTGCACCAGTGTGCTAACTTTCTGCATTTTGCGTACAAATCCCCTCAAGGCTGATCGTGTTATAGATTTCTGCTGAACTAAGAAGAAATATTAAACTTTTCAACAGCAGCCAAATTGTGTTTTTTATAAATGATGACACTATTTTTTAATAAAATGTAGTCTGCAATATACAACTTAAGGTAATTGAACTTTATATTTTCTCCTGTGTGCATGAGTAACAGTAGATCCTAGGTGTGTTGGCATGGTAAGCAAAGGGGGAAAGGGTAGAATTTTGGAATGGCCCTTAAATCTCTTCATAGCCCACAACAAAGACAGCTTTTACAATGCGTGGAGCTGCTAATCAAACAATGAGTGTAGAATGTCCCCACTGTGTCAAATGGTAGGTTGTAAATGCTGTAATTGAGTTATAGAGATCTGCGTCACAGAAAAAGGCACTTCCCTTTGATCCAGTATGTCCACACCAGTCACAAACATCCACTTAACTGTTTCTAGTCAAATTAGGTGATTGCTCTCCAACTGTGTCTGCTCTGCATATTCCCCATGCAGTAGTTCATGAAAAATAAAGTTTTCCTCAGTATTTTTGAAATGTGGACGTAGAGAGGAATCTGCGCATTTGTCCTTTTTGTGCCCAGACACAGGTAAATTTAATCTCTCCTTGTGATCCTAACTTTCTCCACATATAGTTAAGGAAGGCACTACATTATCATTGAACACGTCCTATAAACAATGTCCTTGCTGTTTGCACATGATAAGTATTAACTCAAACAAGATCCTTAGAAATGAGACAGCTCCTTCGAAATAGAGAAGAAGGGCCTAGACCCGAAACACCAGCTTTTCTGCTCCTCTGATGCTGCTTGGCCTGCTGTGTTCATCCAGCTCTACACCTTGTTATCTCAGATTCTCCAGCATTTCCAGTTCCTACTATCTCTCTAACTAATCTGACACTTCTATTTTGTGTCACCTCACGAGATAAATTACAATCCAAGGAAGGCAATTTGTTTATCATATTCTCCCAATTCTGGTCTCAAATCTGCCTTGGCTTTTACATTTCACAATATCTCATAGCAAATAGTTAGAAAAGCAAATAGATTGTTATTGTTTTTTACAAGGGGATTGAATACAAAATGGGTGACTATGCTTCAGCTATATAAGGCGTGGCTGAGACATCTGGATTCCTGTGGACCATGTTGGTCCCTGTATTTTAAAAAAACATATATGTATTGAAAGCAATTCAGAGAAGATTTATTAGGCTAATACCTGGAATGGATCGGTTGTCATATGACGAAAGGTTGCCAGTTTAGACTCATAGCTATCTAGTGGAGTTCAAAAGTGTAAGAGGTGATTTAATTGAAACACATAGGATTCTGAGGGGTTTTGATGAATGGATACAAAAAGAATATTTATACTTGTGGAGGTTCTAAACTAGGGATCATTGTTTAAAAGTAAGGGGCCATCCATTTAGATGGCGATAAGGAGAATTATTTTCTTAGAGAAGATCGTAAGTCTTTGGAACTCTACTCTTTGAAAGACAATGGAAGCAGAGTCTTTCAATCTTTTTAAGGAAGAAATAGATAAATTCTTGATAAACAAGTGGGTGAAAGATTATTTTGAGCGGGATGCAGTAATCAGATCAGCTGTAATCTTAGTGAATGAAGTAGCAGGCTTGAGGGGTCAAGTGTCCTACCCCTACTCTCAATTTGTACATGTCTATGGCCTCAAAAATAATTCAACAAGCACTAATTGCACAAACTACACTTTTAGCAGAAACTTAAGAACACAGTCAGTTATGTTTTATCACAGTGTTCCCTAAAGCAATCAGAATTAACAACTTTAAATATTTCATCATTTCTACAATTACAAATTATTTATAAGTCAAAAAAAAATTTTAATCATATGTTTACTAACCAAATTCTAACCTCTGTTACATAAATATGCACAACTAAGGTATCTCACAACCCTCAATTCCACATCATTTTGCTGACCAATCTATTTTCTTTCACCTTACTAAACATCTTTCCAAAGCCCTATCAATGCTCAGTCCAAAACTAGAGGGCATAGGTTTAGATGAGAGGGGAAAGATTTAAAACAGATCTAAAGGGTAACGTTTTCATGCAGAGGGAGGTCCATGTATAGAATGAACTGCCAGAGGAAGTGGTGGAAGCTGCTACAATTGCAACATTCAAAAGGCATCTGGATGGGTACATGAATAGGAAGGGTTTAGAGGGATATGGGCCAAATGCTGGCAAATGGGACTAGATTTATTCAGGATATCTAATCGGCATGGACAAGTTGGACCAAAGGGTCTGTTTCCGTCCTGTACGGCTCTATGATTGAATAACTCTACATCAGGTTTCTTCATTATTTCATAGAAGAATCAAATCAAGTTTGCCTGTCATAGTTTGTCTTTACTGAATTCATATTAGTTGTCATTTATTAACTGTTATACTTCTAAATGGAAATCAATTTGGCCCATTCTTGACATTTCCCAGCACTGATATTAAGCCTATCTATCCATTTCAACTTGTGTGAACTTGGTGTCGCATTTAGATAAGTCCACAATGCCAGACAATTGTCTCAAATGACACATCTGCGATGTCTTTAAAACATTCAGGTAATCTGCATGAATGATGATGCATAACAGATTAATACTGCAGCACAAATGGTTTTGAGGAATCTTCATTACATAGTGATAAATTACTCATCTACTCACAGATAAATGATTAGTGCAACACGAGAAATAAAGGCTAGAAAAAACAGATTGGATCCATATATACTGGAAGAGGAATGATACAGAACAATGCATTTAATTAAATTTATTTCCTACAAAAGATGGTAGCACCTGTGATCACGCTGGGAAACTGGTAAACTAACAGTCCTTCTCTCCAACACATGCCCCCTTTTACAAATAAAATGAGCAGTTAACCATAACATACCATCATTTTAAAAACCAAAAATCAAGTTGTATACACAAAAGCCCACTTGCCAATTAGTTAACTCCTTGTAGGTCATAACGTTAACGTTCAGCACAAACATAGATTACCAATTGATAATCACTTGAAAATCTCAAACAAAAAAATTCTTTCCATATTTCAAACTCAGTTTCATATTCAGCTGAGCTTCAGAATTCTTCTTTCTCTTTAATAGTGATGTAAATGTATTCATGTTTAAAATGAGCAGACTAGTTTTGACTGCATTGTTTATAATATTTCTTCAGATCTTGTGAAAGACGTTGTGCAGTACTTGAAAAACATACAGAATAAAGGCTTACCACAGGCAGCAACATCTTGCACGTGGTTTGCTTTGAACTCTTGAACCATGATTCCTTGGATTCCCACTTCCCTTGAAAACTATTGAAAGTAAAGAAAGCAAAAAGCAGTCAGACTGTTGTGTGAAACAAACTTACAAGAAGCAAAATTTGATCTAAATACTGGACGAGACATTTCGTGGATCCTATTTCCTGAAAACGAAGGTGGCATCTGTGCTGACACTAGGAAACTGTGAAGAATTAGAAACCTTGCTTTGCTACCAGATTAGGATTTTTTTTTGTATTCATTTATTTATGCATGATTTATGGCTTTCACTGGTTTGGCTAACATTTACTGCCCATGCTTAGTTGCTCTTGAGAAGAATAGTTGTTGGTCTGGATTTTGGATTCATTGGTGAATGAATGGCACCAGGTTTCAATTACACTTGAATTTGTCAATTTGTTTGTTATAGGTTTTGAACTGAAAGTCATGGTGTAGATAAGGCCAATAAATATGACATCCTCTACAGAGCATCTGGGAGCTGTATGAACAGAATAAATAACTATGCTCACTATTCCTCTAGGTCCAAGTGTGAACGCTTCCAATTAGGCTCCTTAATCCATTCCATCCCTGCTCTCCCTTCACCACTATAATAGTCCCAATCAAAGTAAGGTATGAAATCTTTAATGTGACTTTAGTGAAATATCCTTCCTTCTCAACTCGACCACAGCTTTCAACATGGTTTACCACATACACCTCCTTCAATATCTCTCCACTGCTATCCAGCTGGAGCTAGGGGGAGTACATTTGCCTGGTCTGTTCTTATCGATCCAGTGTCAGGGGGAAATCCATTTCAATAGCTTCAGACCAAGCTGGCATTTCCTCTTCCACTGTCCATAAAAGTGAGCTCATCCAAACTCTGCTGCCCCTATCCTAACTCACACTGAGTCCCGTTTATCTGTTATCCTGTGCTTGTTTACCTTGTTTGTGACAATATCACAATTTTAAAACATTTTTTTTTAAAGTGTCTCATTGCCCTTACCCTTCCCTATTTCTATGGCCTCTTGCGGTCCTACAACCCTTTAACTGGTCTGCACTCATCTAGTTCTGGCTTCTTACACATCCCTGATTTTAACTGCACCACTGGGGTTCATCACTTTCAGTTATTCAGGACCTCAACTTTACAGTTCTTTCCACTAACCTGTTTACCTCTCTATCTCCCTCTCGTCCTTTAAGTCATTCCTTAAAACCGATCCTTCAGACCAATGTTTTGTGAACTTGCCCTAATATCCCATTGTGTGACTTGGAGTTTAGCAAGTCTTCTTATTGTATTACCTCCTTAATGAATCAGATTGAAGAATCATTAGTGAGTAATGTAGAGCGTGAGGTTGTTTGACTGTACTTAAGACATATCACAAAATTAGAGGGATATTTGCATTGAAATAAACAAGTCCTTATTTCTGAGATAGAAGGAACTGCAGATGCTGGAGAATCTGAGATAACAAGGTGTAGAGGTGAATGAACACAGCAGGCCAAGCAGCATCAGAGGAGCAGAAAGGCTGACGTTTCGGGCCTAGACCCTTCTTCAGAAATGGGGGAGGGGAAGGGGATTCTGAAATAAATAGGGAGAGAGGGGGAGGTGGATAGAAGATGGATAGAAGAGAAGATAGGTGGAGAGGAAACAGATAACCTTGTTATCTCAAGTCCTTATTTCTGGGGAGTTTAGATCCTATCCCTGAAGTAAGTACAGGAACTTCACACCACTCAGCAAATTTGCAAAGCCATGTACAGCTTTGGGGTGACCAGAGTATCTCTGCAATCAACTTCCTCATTTTAAAATGCCAGTTTCACTCAAATAATGCGGAGATCTAGATCCCACTAATAATCTAGCCGCTCTTCATTTTAGTATCTCTCTTCTCACTGTGGGATTTTCATTGTAAATAACAAACTTTTTACAGCTTTGAATAAGATTGGCTCTTTTTAAACAATGTTATATGGAAATAAAATGTAAACCAATGCATTTGTTTACCTTGATTTGCCAGTCTTAAAAATGCTCTTCATGAATTCTCTGTGTCTGACTCCTCAAAGGTGTAGACGCTTGCTTTTCATTGATGCATTTAAATACAAATGGATATAACTTGGGCCTGAGGCACAGATATCAAATTGCACCTCCTATGTATGATATAATACCCACATGACTTCCAAATCAGTGATAGGTGAAGGTTGTCCCTGTTTGACCACTTATATCGTACAAAAAATTATTATTGATTTTTTTAAAATCACAGCTATGTGTTATTAATCAACAAAGCCTTAGTTGGTTCCAAGTGGAAAGTATTTATTCAAATTTATCTGATCTGATTTAACGTCAAGAAAAGTGAGCTTTCAGGCATTTGATGTGGGCAAATAGGAAATCAAACATTTAGGAGACAGAATTGTGTGTCACATTTGTGTACGTAATAAGGCTTAAGTTTTCAACATGTATCGGACCTATGTTTAGTGATGAAAACCTTAAATTGTATGCTCTATTGTTAAAAATCTTACAGTTGGCATTTAGTTGTCTCAAATATCATATCTGATCTTTAACAAAGAGAAAAGGGGTGAGCAAAGGTTGTAGCTGGGTCACATTTTTCAATTGGGATCTACTGAGATATGGCATTAGAATGAGCAAAACTAAGGTACTGATTGGCTAGAAGAAGCACAGACAGGAAAAGATATCATAAGTCCTGGGTTACAGCAGGAACTGCCGATGCTGGAGTCTGAGATAACAAGGTGTAGAGCTGGATGAACACAGCAGGCCAGGCAGCATCAGAGGAGCAGGAAGGCTGACGTTTCGGGTCTGGACCCTTCTTCAGAAATTTCTGAATGGATGGTCCAGAGCTGAAACGTCAGCTTTCCCGCTCCCCTGATGCTGCCTGGCCTGCTGTGTTCATCCAGCTCTACACCTTGTTATATCATAGGTCCTGGTGTTTCTCCTGTTTCCATGCCCTTTGTTGCACATCACCACCATGTTCTCCCCCTCCTCTACTTTTAACCATCCCATTCTCAGCTTTTGGATACCCAGAATTAGGAACCATCATCATGGTGGCGCTAAAATGTTTTGTATAGGTTTGGAAAAAACATATTGGCTTTTGTACTCGTGTGACTATTCATAAAGTTCAGGTTTCAGTGTACACTTATACATTTTACAACTACAGCTTGATCAGACAACTACACATAACTAGCTGGTTGCGAGTTACACAATAGTTTTGTTCCTTTTAGCTTGGCAATATCCAGACAGCAATAGCACCTAAAAGACTTAAAATCTCACAACAAGCAGGTAAACTAATAATTCTATGTACAAATGAGAATATGTTGAACTAACAGTGATGTAGCTATGCAAAACCCTGAAAAGACCCCATCTGAGTATTGTCAACAGATCTGGGAGTACATCATAGGTTCACAAGAACGATACCTCGACTTCTGTGGTTGTTATGAAGAGAGATTATACAAATTAAGCCCATTTTCTCTGGAATTTAGCAGTTTAAGGAGTGATCTGATCAAAGTTTTCAAGATATCAACAGGAAAAGATAGGATATATAAACAATTTCCACAGGTTGGAGATTCTGGAACTAGAGGGCATAAGTCTGAGAATTAGAACTAGATTATTTAGATGAGACATCAGGAAGCACATCTACACACAAGGAGTGGTAAAGATTTGGAACTCTCTTCCACAAATGGTAGTGGATACAGAATTGACTGTGAAGTTTTAAATCTGAGATAGATTTTTTTTGTAAGCAAAGGAATTAAAAGATATGAGCCAGAGGCATGTATATGCAATTATGCCACAAATCAGTCATGATTTCATTAAATGGCGGAACTGACTCAAGAGTTTGAATGGCCTACTCCTGTAGTTAAGTTCTTACGTACTCTATTGTTGTATTTCTTCTGGTTTCATTTTCAAGTTTAAAAATGGCAAAAAATCTTCCAGAAAATTAGCATCATTTATTCACCCTTAATAATGTGCTAAACCACACAAATGGGGTTTGATAACAGAAAAAAATGCACTTTGCATCTAAACGATAAGTAATTTCTTATTTTAAGTGGAAGCTAACCACAATTAAAAATGCTTAGCATGGAGCAAATAATAAGAGTAAAATACTGTAGATGCTGAAAACAGGGCACAACATTTCTCTCAGGGCTACTTCTTTGATTTTCAAGAGGCCTGGGTGGGGTATTTGGATTCACACAGAAGCAGAATTAGAAGAGTTCAATAAAATCCTCAATAGTCATCACGTGTTCAACTTAAAGTCGAAACAAAGAAGGAAAGCATTTTTTTAAGATGTACCACAGTATTTACATTGGCACAAGACAACAGTCATATGTTAGCAACAAAACATTTGTTTTAAAAAAAACTGATGCAATCTTCTACATATAAAAAAGCTAACACCTGAAAAATAATTTTCACACTCTGGTAAATTCACAGCTAATGCATTTCCATTGCATATGTACAAATCGGAACATTTTAACCAGGCAGTCACTGCTCTTTTTACTGCAGAACTCAATCACAGGTTTAAATTTAAAACAGTCGCTGCATTCATTACAGTTGCATTTTCCCCAGTTATGAGGTCCTGAAGTTAGGAAGCCTTAAGCTCAAGATTCCACATTCAATGATTTAATTACTTCCTCGTTCTCAGTCAGCTGATTGTTCCTTTTATTGAAAACAAAAAATACTGGAAATCACAGCAGATCAGGCAACATCCGTGGAGAGAGCCTAATGTTTCGATTCTAGATAACTTAGAACATAGAACATAGAACAGTACAGCACAGTACACGCCCTTCGGCCCACGATGTTGTGCCGAACTTTTACCCTAATCCTAAGGTCTATCTAACCTCCACCCCTACCTTATACTATCATCTATATACCTATCTAATAGCCGCTTAAATGCCCCTAATGAGGCCAACTCCACTACCCTCTCCGGCAATGCATTCCACGCCCCTACCACTCTCTGAGTAAAGAACCTACCTCTGACGTCTCCCCTATATCTACCTCCACTCACTTTAAAAATATGCCCCCTCGTAATAGCTACCTCCAA